CTAACTCGCATTTTTTTAAAAAATTTAATTATTTCATTAACATTTATTATTTTTGTGATACAATTTTCTCAATGTAATTTGCATTATTTTATTAGGAAATTTATATAGGATATAACATAAAAAAATTTCGAAATTTTACATCTGGAAAAGTTATATTCCATGTAAATTTTCAGATGCAAAATTACAAGAGGTGTGATTTTTTTTGGATATAAATTTTTTATTGTAAAATTTTTCCCAATTTTTTTAAAAGTTCGATTGTGCTCTCAACTTTAATTGTCTGCGTCCGGCCTGAGCTCAAAGATTCAGTCAAACTAAAAAGAATTTTATCGGATTCTGGATTTAGTAGTGGCAATAATTATATAAAAAAGAGTTGGAAATTAAGCAGCCACAGCTGGGGATTTAATTAAGTTATGATTTAAACAAGTTTAAATAACAATTTGGCCTCCATCTGTTTCCAAGCCGACACTAAAATTCAAACTTGCTTTCTTCAAATGACGTAAACACCCTTGTCATTGCTTTACTAGAGTTTATCAATCAAGAAAGGGAATTGGATAGTTTGGTCAATGTCATCATGCTTGGAGTTGGAGACCGTGGATAATATAAACTTATAATATTCCTAATTTGTGGGCGGTGATGTTTTCTCCATCTAAAAAATGCCATCCAATTTGGATTTTGACTATATGAATTATGAACATATAGAATTTATTTTTATTCTATTGAGAAGTCATGAATAAGAGAAAACTATTTTGTTTCCTAGACAAATAGCACTATGACCACCCAAGGGACAGTATTTTACACATTTGGACCATTAGTGACCATTTTAGTGCTATTGCATATTCACTCAAAAGTTTATCAAAAAAAAAAAAATACAGTCTTTATCGAAATAAAGGTTTAACAGGCGTAGAGTTTTCATAATGAATCGGTTCAGAATCCTCACTTGCTCTCACAATATTTTATGTACTCGTCACAATTGATTTAATTTTTTATTCCCAAACTCAAAGTGCAATTATCATTCAATTTGATGGATATACGTTAGCAGGTGAAAATAGATGTATGTTATATTTACATAACCTCTAGAATTAAAGAAGAGATACTGAATTACGTTATAGTGTCTTATGTGTCTCCTCTTATGTCACATGTGTTATGTACGCGAAAGGACATCCTCATAAAACAATTTTCTATCCACATGTGACTATGAGGAAATGAAAGGAACTTCATTGGAAAATAATCGATTTCTGAATAAAAATAAGTGATAGTACGCGGAATTATTCCTTTCATTCAAAATCCATTTTCTATAGCATGTGTGGCGGATTAATAGATGTACAATTCAAGTGGTGCAAAAGGCACACCCAGACCAGACCAGACCACCCCCACTCGCACCTCCATACAGACAAGATTTATAAATGGCACTTTTTGGGCACTATAAATTGGCACCCAGCCCTTCATTTATCCATCATTCAATTTCCTCTCCTCCTCTGTCTTCTCTCTATCTCTAAGAATTAAAGATAATCTTGTTCTTGTTATTGAACCGATTCAATATATTTGCCGTGGAATCTCCATTTTCTTCTTAATATTTCCCTTTTAGTATGTCAACTATAGTGTGTCAGAATCTTGTATCATGTTTCGAGCAGTCTCAACAGACAGAGACAGCAAGCCTGAAGCTGAAAATTGCGGCGTCTCCGTCAACTGATTGGAGTGATCATATCCCAGAAGTTAAAGAAAATCTTGAAATAACTGGTTGGAGTTCTCTTCAAAATCTCTCTTCCATAAGCACAAAATCAGCAAAAGAAAATGATACCCCATATATTTATCCGTTTGAAAAAAAGTCGTGTGCAAAAATAAGCCTGGAATTATGTACTGAAAATTTGGGAAGCGAAACAGGCACTGATATTTCTGATTGCAGCATTTTCTCAAACAGTTACAGCTCACTCGAAAATGCACCAGATAAACCAAAGCAGGAATCAAGAAATTTTAATAAAGCAGCAGCAAATTCTTGTCGCAGTTTTCCCCCGCCGTTGACAACCATAAGCAGCGGGTCAAGTTCTCTTCAAGTCAGGCGCCAGTGTGAAGGCGGAAGGCTTATAATCGAAGCGGTGGAGACCCCATTTAAGCCCACTTATCTTCAAGCAGAAAGAAGCGATGGTCGCCTCAGACTATGCTTTTTCCAAGAAGAAGAAGAAGAAGAAGAAGAAAATGAAGAATGTGAGAGTGAAGTAGAAGATGAAATGATTGAAAGGGACGCCATTGGTAGAGAAAAAATAGAAAATTATGAAATAGAATCAGAGCAAGAAGATGATGATGTAAGAATTGGACCTGTTGAAATGGGAATGGAGAAATTTCAAAGGTTGAGTAATAGTAGTAGGTGCAAGGAAAGTGGGCATGGGGATAAAGGATTGTGCAATTGGAAGCCTGCTCTTTGGGTCGCTATTTCCTAATTTTTTTTTTCATTTTTGAACCTTATTTTTTAAGAGAAATTTTATTTTAAATTACTTCGCGTAAAATGTTATGCTATGGGGTGGTAGTGTATCTAGTAGTTATTTGGATGGAAACTCTCTCTTGCATGTTCACCTATGATAAATTTTACGTATTTTGATCAGTTAAGAAGTGCATTATGTCTCGTATCACCCAGATTTATAAAAAGACAGTGGTGGAGAAAGTTTCGATAATACGATGTTATATGCCTACATGGAATGTCCACCCACTTAAATGCCGATAAATTGTGATTTGTATCATAACTAGTTGCTAAACAATGATATTCATCTAAAGTTTAGGTGATCAAAGACTATGTTGCAATAATGTCATTGTGGCATTAAATGATAGGTAAGTCATTTAATTTCACCTATCATTTAATCAATCATTTATATCCACATAAACTGGGGATATATCCCCACTGAGGATGAATAGCATTTTTCTTCATATCTAAAGTTTAGGTGATCAAAGACTATGTTGCAATAATGTCATTGTCACATTCAATGAATACAAATTACATACGAAATTTTAGAATATTATTTTCCGATGATTGAAAAAATCAAAAAATTAGGCTAAAGAATAAACAATCCTTAACATTTGTGTGCATAATAGGTGAACGCAATTCGATTTCAAACGATTTTTGTACTATTTTGAGAAAATTTCAATTCAGGCCAAAACAAACCATTTTTTGTTGTTCGATTTGGTTTCAAATCATAATTTTTGCAACATACAAATAGATATTTCAAGCTAGTGAAATAATAAATATATTGATTTGAAATTTCACTATAACAATAAATTGAAACTTTCTAATCATAATGTCACAATATAAATATATTATCCAAATACAAGCTTAAACCAATAGATCGATACAAGGTTCACCTTAAAATTTAAACTTGCAATTTCATTCGTTAGGTAAGAAAGTTATGACTATAAATAATTTTTTATTTCCTTTGTAGCCAATAGAAGCCAACTAGCAAGTAAAATTGTTAAAGTATTGATCAAAGAAATAATGTATCTCAGAGTAAAATAAGTATTTTTCCTGAAATTGGATGAACGGTTCGATTTGGTTTCAAGAGATTTTAAAATAAGTAATTATCAAAATTTAAATCGAACTATTTTTCAAATGATTTGGCTCAGTTTTTAAATAAGTAACTTTAAAGTTTGACCAACAATCTTAATAGTTTTTTTATTTTTTTAATTTGAATTATTAGTTTAGCAATAAAAATAAGGATTAAAAATTAAACGTGCTAAAATGTAAGATAGTGAAATATAGAAAAAATGAAATCCAATACCAGCGGCACGCATTGTGATTTAGAATATAATACAAATAACGGTATGTTGCCTACAACATAACAGTATAGAATTGTCCTATCGAAACTTTTTTATTTTCATGTGGACGTCAGTTAAATAAAAAATAACGGACTTATGACACAACCCGAGACCTTTCTTGCCCAAAAATATTGTAAGTACCTAGTATGTATTTTTTCAACATGGCACGTGTAACAAATGTCTAGAAAGTAAATGTTAAATAGAAAGGGTATGTGACAGCTTTTGTCCATTAGTTAGAATGATTAGGTTTCCAAAATATTTGGGGACCTTAATTTGCCCAAATTATTAACAAAAGACAAACATTTAGACATGAAATGAAAACGAAATTATGATGTAAGCTAGCCCCATTTCAAAAGAATATTGCTACATATTCGTTCTTTGACCACTTTCTTTGTCTAATTGTCTTTGAAAATGACATACGGCACAGTCGTAGAGGTGTTTAAGGTAGATTAAACTCTTGATCTAGGAAAGATTTTTAACCATCGTATTGAATTGGGCTTTCAAATCCAAATATGCTTGAACACTTTCTAAACCTTTTGATCTAATAAAATTAATTTAAATAAAAAATCATTAAAAGTAGTTGAATCTGGTGACTAGCTTGACCCAATACAATTTATAAGTCGTTTGACAGGACGTTTAAAAAGTCAAAAAACTGTCTACACGGAATCTGCTTTGAAATATACTTTGATAATTTTTGAAATTACTTTGTATGATTAAAAGTTTTTTTAGAAGAAACTGGTTTAGGAGCTTCTTTAGAAGACTCTTCTGCAAGAAGTATAAGAAAAGCAAAATTCTTGTCAAATGGATCCTTGGAAAATGATATGTCGTCGCCCATGTGTACATGCGTGGAGGCGGATTCTTAATTTTGTCGAGAAAAAGAAAAGGGCCTTTGTGTACATGCGTGGAGGCGGATTCTTAATTTTGTCGAGAAAAAGAAAAGGAAAAGGAGATGTGTAAGCCGCCCTTCCCACGAGACATGGAATCTTTAATGGAATTCATTGTATCACCATGCCATGCTTAACATTTTAAACGTTTTGACTTTAATGATTAATCACAATTTATTGTCTGCTGCTTGCCGGTTACACTATCTGTAAAATAATAAACAAAATCAAAGAAATTGAACTTTGCTCTTGAAAAAGAGGTAAAGGACTAAATTCCTGTCCCTCAGTTATTTAAAGATTTTGGTATTTATCATTTGAAAAATTTGAGATGACGATATTTCATTATTCAATCATGCTACAGTTCTAGATAGGTTGACAGAAAAGTAGGTATAATGTCACATGATATTCTATTATTGAACTATTTAAATCACAGTCTGTTTTTTCATACAGTCTTCTGCTATCGCCTAAGCTTCTCTGTCGTTGCAGCTGTCAAAATCTTTCTAACAAAATGACACAATCCTTCATTATTAGGTGACTTAGTGACTAGAGTGAGAAATAATAAAATACAGTACTAGAGGCATGAAATTAATGGTCTGGATTTTGACAACATTAATGTTGTGATCCATTATTGTCAAGGACAATTGTAAAAGTAGATTAATTCTTCAATTAATGAATAAAAGTATGACACTTCCTCCACGTGTAATGATCTGAACCGTTGAGGCGGATCATGGACGGCTGGGATGCGTTGTTGCTATTGAGTGATTTGTGGGTCAGAGAATTCATTGTTTGGTAGTTTTTTGTTCGTCTCCTCTAAGTCATTTGAATGAGTCTGCGATTCTTCGAAAAATCATCATTTTCGAAAAAATATATCAAATGAGTTGTATCAACACCATTCTTCATTCGAAGTCGACACAAATCTTATCCCTTTACGAGAACACATGTGAGTATACACACTAGTGGTACATGAGACAAATAGTATCTAGCACCAAATATTTTGTATGGGAATGGTACAAAAAGTTGGGACCAATATGAGCCTGTCATTGTTCGTTAAAGTCGATTGTGCTTTCCTACAAAATGGCATAAACATACGATACTACGCAATACACGTATTTAGCTATAAGTTATATTGATGCTTTTCACTTAAAAGTAGCGTAAAAAAGTCGTAACGATTTTTAAATAGAATGCTCGAGTAAGTTGTATTTAACGACCAGTTGTATATTTGATAAAATCAGTATTAAAGTAGATATACGACCAAATAACCTAAAAGAAATTAAAATGCATGTTAATATTTTTTAAAAATCGAGTAATTTATTTTATATACTATCTATTAAAATTTATTTTCTTGACAACGTATTAGGTTTGGACGTTGGAAAAAAAAAAAAAAAAAAACTTAATTCGTTGCTTTAGTATTTGTATTACTCCAATAATTTATTATTTTTGAAATAGTTACTTAAAATATTTGATTTTAGCAGCATACTACTGTCGTGGAGGCAATATGGAAGAAAATCTAATTGGAAATAGCCAATATGCTAATTGCAAAATTACATATAAAATTATGTGGTGGAGCTGACTCAATCTTATCCTATTCCCTATTGTGCGCGTAGAAAACATGATCTATATTAAATGGATTTTTTTTCTTTCTAAAATATAAATTTTTGTCGGTTTTTGCTGGAAAAGAATATCAGCCATCCCTTATACTTCTTGTGGTAGAGTTTTACGAAGAAATTATCTTGTCAATTTTCTCCAAATTTCTTCTAGTTAGGCAAATACTTTCAGAAAATTATTCAAATATATTGAAAAAAACTTTTTACTCTCGTGAGCAACTTTTGACTTTTCAAAAACTTGTAAACTGGCCTTTATATGCCTATATCTTATCAAACTAGCATAGGTGGCCCTGAGGGTGAGCAGATGGTGCGATCGCACAGGGTCTTAGCACTGTAGGGACACCAAAATTTCTTTTGTTATATATAATAATTTTAAAATTTAGAATTTTTATTATTGTGTTCGTTAGAGGGGCTTCATTTTAAAATGTGGGATTCTTGATTGTTATTTAGCGTAAGAAACTAAATTTAATTCCCAATAAATAGAATATTTACCACGTCATATATCTACACGCGATATTTTTATGTACTAAACAATATTAGAAACAAGTAAAGAAGAATTTGTATTGAGTATGTATTTGCATATATCTACACGCGAGATTTTTATGTACGTGCAAAGATTTCTTAGGATTGGTGAAATGAACACAATAGTTATCAGATATATGTCTGATTTATGTAACAGAATAAAATTATGTGTGATTATATTATAGAAGTATACAATAAAAACTACTTGATTAAAGGTTGGCCTAACAACATAATGAACTTGCCTTAAATTTAATGAATCTTATACTTTTTTTAACTAATATAACACCATATATTTCATTTATTTTTGTCTTGGGAATTTCTTTATTATCCATTAGGTTCAATTGATTTTCCATGAAACAAGCCAAGTACTTCTTTAAGTGTACCCTTTCAATGTTGTGAAGGAGGAGAAAGAAAGGGATTGCTCACCTATTGGATTTGAAAGAAAGTGAGAGATGTGCTTTTTATGGCCTAAAGTTGTTCAATAATACAACCAAATTTGAGAAAAGGAAAAGAAAAATAAAAGGAAAAATGAGAGAACCAAACATGGAATATTCTCCTGCTTGTCTAGTCTAAGTTGGATATTATTTTTTGAACTTTTTGAGAATCTTCAAAAAATACATGAAATTTAGG